ATACTCCACCGTCAGCAGAGCTCCTTTAAAAAACAAGAGAAAAAGATACTGAACTTTATTCCAGGAAAGATATCTTTCATAGTAGCAACAAACCAGTTACATTTCTTATCAAATAGGAGCAGGTGACTGAACTGGCTCCTTCAAGTAAGAATGCCCAGGGAAGAAATCAATGTTCAGTCTCATAGGCAAGAGGCTTCTTATTCTTGGCAATCCTTACAGCTTCAAATTGATAATGTCCAGCATACAGTAACCTGCAGTGAGCTCAGCAAGTGTCAGCAGCGATACATTTTGCTTCTTAAGGGTAATGTAAAAATTAGTCCTGTCCCCCAATATATGTAGAAATGTAATCAAATTGCTTTTAATTATTGAACAGTATAGCAATGTACTCCACCCCAGTCCTGACATCAAAGGAGATCACTTACTGAATATACCAGTAGCTTCTGAAGAAGGATGAGACTATTTTTTTTTAACCTGATTTAATGTTTATGGAAAGATTAGCCATTCAAAACCAAGAAACTCTATCCATGTAAAAGCACAGGAAGCCTATACAGGGTTTTGAGAGTAAGTAGCTCACCAGCGACAGTAAAGAACGGCCTCTAGAAATAAAAAAAAAAATTATTGAAGTTTTTAGGCTACATCATCAACTGGAAGACAGCTCTGCCCATATTCAAAGTGGCTCGATGCAGACCTGCTCTGATCTCGATGCTCTATAGCACGACACAGTATCTCAAACAAAGCACCGAGCTAACTTGGCTGTATTTCTGGATTGGCTCTGGCCCAGACAGATTCAGCCTGCTGAGCATAAGTAGAGGAGCTTGTGTTCTTTTGCTTTGCTCAGAAGCACGTACAAAGACAGCAAGCTTTTGCATAGGCAAATATTACTTAAATGAAACTAGCCAAACCCTAAGTCTTGAAAGGCATCTAACCTGTTACGGTCTTCATAGTGTGCCATGCACTTTATCTTCCCTAGAACAACGCACAGACTACCCAAGGCAGATGATGTTGTAAGCTATTAATACGCTGGCCTAAATACAAAGCACTGGAGCTAGGAATTCCCTAGCTCTCACCTCTGCTCAGCTGCAAACCCTTCTTGTGACATTAAGCTTTTATCAACTCTAAGTCAAGGTTCTTCCCATCCCTCAGTCATCCATCTGTGAAAGTCAGGATGACATCCCTTATGCAGTATGTTTGTAAGACATGTAAGTGCTTTAATAATGTGCACGGAAATGCTTTGAAAATGACAAGTATTATGCACACAGAGCTATGTAATTAATACTAATGACATCACAGGCTACTACGCTTTTCCCAGTGCACAGCCATGATGAATAGTACGAAGTAGGAACAAGTAGGATGAGTGTGCTTGTTCTTCTTGATACAAATGTTTACCAAAGCATTTCATCTGTAATATGTAATATTTCTGACATATTTGTGCAGTCTCCTAAATTAAATTTCTAGTGCCACCCACCAGCTATCAAATTAAAAGAATCTTCCAAAGCCCCTAAACCCAAGTTAATCATAGCTCATATTGCATCATATATTTCTAGAAAATCAGGAGAAATGTTATTTAAAACTTATATATTATTATACCTTAAATCAGTCATCATGCCGAGTTGTATTCAACTCTAAAATGCATTTACGAATAACAGCATGAAAAAGAAATCAATCAAAGAGAAGAACATGTCATTTGAATAGTTGTAACAAAATGGACAAAAGGTATGAAACACATATAAAAGGCTGTTTCCATGCAGCAGAAAGTGTAATGAAGGAGGTTCTCACATGCTTAAAGGCAAATTGACGCCGAAGGACAGCGAGCAACTGAAAAAGCAAGATTTTGCAGTGCAAGTTTGAACCAGCTCCCCAGATGAGCCAAATTTTTAGCAGCAGATTAGAACTGACAACGAAAGACAGCAGCAACTTAGGCAGAGCTCACAAACACGCCATTTGAATTAGGGCTGCCTTGAAAACGTAGCCTCATCGCGGTAAGTCACTGGAAGGGTCTACCTATGACTCAGTTTCGTTAGCATAAGTTATGTCAAGTGCCGGCAGCTGTCACCCTTGCCCAAACAGCGACCCGAAAAGCAACCTGCTGGAGACCAGCTGCCCCGAGGGAGGCAGGACCGGCCCGGCCCTGCCCTGCCCGATCCCCGCAGACCGGCGGAGCAGTCGCTGGGGA